CCCCCCCTTCGTGCCTACCTCCCGCCCTTTTCCTCCTCACTTGGCCAGCACGCAACGCTATACAACATACGAATGACACTATACGTGCAGACATGTGACAGCCCGGGAACACCAGAGCCGCCTCGCTCTATTGTAGCAAGTGAGTCACTATCGCGGCATGAATGAACTTGTTATCCGAGCCGCGGCTGATGCTGACGTGGCAGTCTGGGTTGGTCGCATCAAGTCTCGCCTCTGTTCACAGTCGAAGAAAACACACCTCGAACGGCTCGTCTCCCGGATCCGTGCGGGCGGCTGCAAACCCAAACTTCGACTGATCTATCGGTTTCGGTTCGTAACGGTATCGTTCACACAACGCCGATATCCCTGGACGCCGCTTCTAAGATACGGTAGACTTCAGCTTTGACTTGCTGCGCTGTCATGCCTCCAAAGCGCGTAACATATTGAACGTCCTTCTGGGCAATCGGGTCTGACTTGGCAGTATCAAGCCAGTAACAGAAGCGACCGGTGCGGCTGAACGAGCCGTAAACCTCTTGCCACCCCCTATCCAAACGTCGCGACCAACCCAATTTAACCAATCCATCCACTATGCGAGGAGGGATCCTGGTTTTTCGGTATGGCGCGTTGGATCGCCGGCGGTTTCGGAGGGGATGCGGCGTCGATATAGCGCCTCCGTGAGATGGGCGCTTCGGGCGTGAAGGGCCCCGGTTACTCGAAGTCCTCGCTCGGGCTTTGGTTCTTTGGTCCGCGGGTCGTCCTCCGGCCGTATTCTGGACGGTTGAACTACCAACGCAAACCGCTTCTTCCAGGGCGTGACCTCGGTTGACAGTACCGAGATATACGACGTCGTCGTCGCCGTTCTGCGGTAGGGCATGATGTCGTTTAACCGTGCCGAGATATAGGACGTCGTCAAGCACGCTCTTTTCTGGTAGTGCCCGCACACGCTTGACTCGGCCTGCGCGGTCATGCGGCACAGGCATTATTGCCAGAACGGAATGGTTGCGTTGAACGTTTCGTTTCTTAGGCTGGTAAGGAGGGCGGAAATAAGGCGTGGAGCGCGGAAAGATTCGCAAGATTTCGCTGCAGACGTACTGCAGGGGAGAGGGGTAAGATAAGATAAGTATATTAACGTCAGTGCCGTTAGGCGCTGACCCGTGTTCGCGCACGGGCCAGTCCCTCGAGCAGTCGCATCTGCTACTCTCTGACGCGCCCGCGACGGTGGCTGGGCGAGTTTCTGTGGCCGCGTTGTGCCGGCTCTAAGGTCTCTAGGTACAGGGAAAGTTATAACCACGAGGCAACTGTAAAACCCTACCCCTGGAGCCTTCTCTTTCTTTTTAGGGCCCTTGCGTCCCTCTTCCTTACTCCAGCCGGCCTAGTGGCATTGCCTCCAGCTCCGACTGGTTATCCTCCGGGTTTTCTTCTTGCCAAACGACAAGCCGTGATTTTTAACGTAACGGCGTTTTATCCGCGCCGCCACCATTTGTTTTATCCTCCCAGGGGAGGGACCAGCCGGGGCCAGTAGCCGGGGCTGGTGTTTTCTTGGTGCCACGCTGGCTCATCGGGCGAGGTCGGG